GTGTGTGCGTGCGTGCCCGCGCGTCTCCTCCAGCATCCGACAAGGGGAAAGAGAGAGAGAGTGAGAGAGAAACAGAGGGCGAGAGAGCAGCACCAGCAGTCTGACAAAGCTGCACTCCCTCAAAGTTTGACATCTCCAGCGGCTACAGAAAGAGTTGTGCTCCGCCGCGGCCATGGAGCCTCGGAAACGCACTGGTTTTGTACTGGTTGGAGTTTACCTGTGGGCAACATTCTGCTGTCAAGGTGGGTCACTGGAGCCTTCAGTCTGTATTCTGTATGCGTGCGTGAAAAGATGGCAAAGAGATCGAGAGAGGAGCAATGGATTGACATGTTTTAAGACAGACTTCGGATTACTTCGGATGTTTATCGGTCATGAGATTTGTGTGTTTAAAAAAAGCCATGCACATGAGTTGTACATACTGTAGAGACTTTTGTATATACAAATAATAATAATAATGCTTGATTATAATGTTAAGTCAGCGTGGCAATATCAGTCGTGTGGCTATATATTTGCGGTATATTATTATATGCGCAAAGAGTGAATCCCTAAAGATTGCCACGGTTAAAAGTGCTGTATTACTGGATTTCCATGCTTGCAGCGCATGGCTCAGTGGCTGCATGTGTCTGCACGTACACGATAGTGAGTGAACCTTCTTTAATAGAGTGGCGACAGCTGGCCCACAATAAGGAGGGCGTCCCGGCGGTGATGCACGAATTTCATGGGGCCATTCATCCCTTCAGTGTAATCTGCAGTTAAAGGATTGTTAAATGCGCGACTACAGTGGGACTGAGCAAGAGAACCCTCAGAGGAGGTTAAAAGTCTATGTCTGAATCCCTCGTTATATTCTGTCTTTGTGCAGTAGTCTTTTTTGTTTTGCTGCTATTGAGAGGATGGGGAGGTGGAGGGGGGTGTTGAGCAGCCAGTTTCAAAAAGTGATTTCTTTGCTCCAAGATTAATATCCCAACATGGTAGGACTTCAAGTAAGGAGGGTGCTGTATGCTTATGTGTCCTCTCAGCTTCTCCCAACAGGTTGCTTGCAGCTCTAAGAAGCCACATTGCTATTACAAAAGCAGGCAAACATGCATTCAGTATAATAAAGTGGCTGGAGGAGGGGCATTTCCTGGAAAATGTTCAAGAGCAGTTTCTAAGAGACAAGTGTGAAGTTAAATGTTGTTCACGAGATGAGTCTGTGAATCTTCAAGGAAATTGTCTCGAGTGTAGTGCATCAAACCTTTTCATTACTCACTGAATTAAGGGATTTGTCTTCTGAGCCCTACAATGCTGCACAAAACGTTGGTCATAATTCATAAGACACCTTTTGAAGGGGGATTTAAGCTGTCCTGAAATGAAAAGATGCTTATTCATTGATACTGGCACTTATTCCCAATGAATGAGCATCATTGAGTTGTTGTTTTTTTTCTTAATAATGTGCATTTCTACCAGCAACACTGAGTCACACAGTCCTTTCAGATCATACAGTAGTTACTCTCAGTATAGTCTGTAAAATATGGCCTGGATCTAGTCCTTTCAAAGCTCACTGAACATGATTATTTGCAGTGGACTTGCCATAAAATTTAAGCTGCTAATGAGACAGTGTAGCATGATTGCTTATTATTCTGAAAAATCTTTGTATACACCCTAAACGGGTAGCCATTTTTGTTGTTATGTTTGACAACATTTAGGTGTATGCAGCTGATTCAGAGTCGGCCATGATGAAAACAGTTCAAAGGACAATTTCTCTTTGAATAGTTAGAGATAAATGATTAAGACTGAAAACAAAACTGGGATGACTCATGGGTCTGTGTTCAGAGTGACTCAGACAAATGTAAATGGCTGCTGAAAACTGAGTATTTGTCTGAATTTTGCAATTTTCAGTTTATTCTTCAACCTACATCTTTCCTTTTTGAGTTGGGTTTAACTACCATACCATACCATACCATACCATCTTTATTTATGAAACACTTTAAAATAACCACAGCTTACACAAAGTGCTGTACATTAGAATTAAACAATAAACATACATAAGATATAAAAAACGATTAAAAAGTAAAAAAAAAAAAAAATGAATAAAAGAAAAAAATACTACTTCATTTCAATTCTAGTATATCTACAGTATACAGCAGCATCATCAAACCTGTTTCTAGCTTGATTAGCGCTGTTAAATAAAAAAAAAAAAAAAAGACTGGTACCTAGATGCTGACCATAGTGGAATAGTTAGCAGGCCATGAGACATTTCCCTCTGGACTTACTGGGGATCAGAATACAAAGTAAACTGTTGGTGGTCACACACCACGCCGAATGAAAAATGTTGGTCCTGGATGATAACATTTAAATCCCTCATTGGTTTTATTTTGAAAGTTTGTCTGTTTTATTTACAGGTTGTTACACCATCACCAAGTGGCTAGAAAAAAATTGATGCAGCTTTAACCTCCTAGGACCTGGCGTCCACATATGTGGACATCACATTTTGGGTTATTTAGACCAAAATACTCAATTTTGCTCTACAAGGGCCTGATATCCACTTACGAGGACATTATACTGCCGAAATTTTAAACGAATATCCTCATATGTGGCTCTCATTTTTCTTAGAAAAAAAAATTAGGTAAAAAGAAAAAATCTGCTAATTCTTTGTTTTTACATTCATCAGGTCATCAGCCCAAATATCAAAGAGAAATTAAAAATGCATGCCATGGAAGAGTTCGGGTCTTAGGAGCTTAAAGAACATTTCTTATAATAAATAATGCAGATTCAATGCACAAATCAATGTTGCTTACAAAAAAAAAAAGAGTATGAGACAACTTGTTTTTAGAATTATTAAATCATGTTTTTGTATTGACTAGAGCAATGGCAAAACCTCCTTAAAAACATATTTCCACTTCACAGCAAAGTGACTTCATATATATTCTCAAGGAAACTTACTTGAAACACTCAGACACAGTTGGGCTGTCGTTCTTGCTTTTCAAATTCTGGATATGTATTGATCTTTTGCAAATGTTTGCAAACCATCTGCTTTAATGTGATTCGATTTTAAACTTGGCCAGCCTTCCTCGATGTTCAGACTCGCCAAGGCTAATCAATATTTAATCTGTCTTTGTGGTGTGGTAATTGTCATGATATCTGTTCTTTAGTTGAATGGTATCTGCTTTCATGTACATTCCTTCATGTGCTTGCAGTTGTGATCCTAACTCTGTAGGGGTATTTAAGAGGAAAACTATAATAACACACACAGCAAAATGTACAATATTAATGTGAATTTCTACCATCAACACTGAAGTAAAATTAAATAAAACATCCAACAAGGAAAAACTGTTTGTGTTTGATCTACATATGTGTTATATGCTAGATATGTAGATATTTAGTTGTACCAAAAATATGCTTCTGGGAAATAATAAAATCCTTCCATAAATTTTCTACTTACCCAGTTCATGGTTAAGTACAAGAGGAAGGATACACCCTCATCAGGTAGCTAACACAGTAAAACAGAAAATATTCACACTTGCATCTACAGCCAATTCAGAATCACCAATTAGCCTAACTCCAAACATGTCTTTGGACTGTTGGAGGAAGCTGCACAGGAACACATACAAAGTCCACACAGAAAGGCCCTAGCCAGTCTGTGGATTTGAACCCAAGACCCTCTTGTTGTGAGGCAACATTGACCCAATACCACTAAAGTAAGTGCTCGGATACATTAGCAGGGAAGTGTAATATCACTACAACAGAATTCCAAAGGTCCACAAATCCCACTCAAAGGGAAAAAAACCTTTGATGTAGGAGAGTAATATGTGGAAGCATCATTTTTTACTTTAATGAGTTTTAGGTTTTGTTTTTTACTCACTGCTTAGTTTTGTATTTACTTACTGTTCGGTGCAGGAAAACCCTTTTACTTTCACAGAGTAACCACATTTAATTGTCTATTTTATGGGTTACACAGAAGTGACAAGTAACACCCTATTTAATATGTGACTGGCCGCCTGACAAGAACTGACAGAAAAAAGGCAACCACTTGAACAAAGATATATTGAATACCTATTTGTACAATGCCAAAAACAAATGTAATGTCTGATAATATGGAAATGCAGTTTGGGAGCACACGTTTTAGAAGTCAGGGCTCAAAATGCGAGTGACAATTTTCTGGGCAGAGATCACACCTCACAAGAAGGACCACTGATAGTTGGTATGAGGGCCTTTATTCCACCAGCTATCAGCTTTTTAAACAAGGTTCAATTTAACCTGTCGGTTGTTGTAAACACTGACAACAGATTGTTTTCATTGCAATCTCACTGACGGTCACACTTAAAGTGGTACGATGGTCTGTTATTCATTGTCCTGTGAATTTCACTTTTTACTACTCAGTGTAAACCAACCTACCTTTTGCAGGCATTAAAGATTGACTCTCCTCTCCTCAAGCCCATCTTTGGCCTGCTGTCTTCAAGTGTCCCTTTTATTGCTGGAAGCCAAAAGCTGTTAGGGTTTCCCTTTGGCTGGCAAAAGCAATATGGTGTACAGTAAGATGGGAAACCCAGATAAGAATTTGCTTCAGGAAGTATAGTTTAATTTTTCCCCCAATATATTTTCAGTTTGTAAAACAACATTTTTAGTGTCGTTTAAGAAGCGAAGAATATATGGTTTTCAGCTCAGTTATGGCAATTACAACTGTAAGATTTTGGACAGAATGATAGTAATAGATTTTGGGGCAAACTTTAGGAAAAGACATGCTGTACCTAATTGTTGGATTTCCACCTTATGGGTGTAATATGTAGTATTGTGAAAAAAAATGCATGATTGCTAGAAATTAAAGGACAAAATGAAAATAAGAGAAGCACCCCAAGGAAGACCAGTTCTACTGTCAGCTGTGTTACTTTAAGCCTAATTTTAAGTACATGGAAATGATTAATGTCCAACATGCATCAGGTTTGTGTGTAATTGAGAGATTATGATTTGTTTTCTCTGCCAAGAAGAATGACGACAGTACAGATGCCAGTATGTGTAGTATTTTAAAGGCAGCATACAACTTCAAGGGTGAACCACTTATAAACTAAATTGTCTTTCTGTCTGCTGCTGTAGAATCCAGACAATAAAAAAGAAAATAAATTATTTTCATTGCTGTTAACTACACTGTACTGGTATGTCCTGTGCATCTGTATCATTGAGTCAGAATTAATTAATTAAAACTGAAAAAGAGCTACAGTTGCAATCTGGGTGATGGAAGTATGACTTGACGATGGAAAACTGGGGCAGAATCCTGTATGTCAGTGGCAGGCTCTGAGGGTAAGATGAATATTTTGAGGATGTAGCTATTTGTGTAAAATAGAAAAAAAATGAGGATAAGACCACCCACAGAGCATGAGAAAATATTTCCCTAGCTTTTGCTTTTAAAAGCAAAACTAACCTAAAATATTTCTTATTTTAAGTTAATATTCTTACCAAAGTGTTTTTTGGCATTGTTCTCTCAGTGGGTAATGATCGACTTTTTTGGACTGTATTTTTGGATTTATCGTAATAATAGAAGTAAACATCAGATACAAAAATGTAATTCTGTAAAGATACTAGAAAAAAACATATTTAAGGAATTATGAAGTTACCATAGAGAAAAATGAACAACATGACTTTTTTGAATCTTCAGCTAAAGCTTTGTAGTAGTTCAGGGAGGTTATTATACAATATAGACGTTTTACGCTCCTTGAAAACTGCTGCCTTTTAATTCTCCCTATGTTAAGAATTAACATAATTAATGAGATTTGTATGCTGCAGCAACACTAGAAAGAGTGTAAACATTATTAGATTACAATAATTAACACATGTACAACATCAAGCATTTCTAAGATCTTACTATAGGTTTTACTGTATGTGCAGCCGTGTGTTTGAAGAAAAAGAAGGACAACAAAGAGGCATTTCATAACTTAAAGTGAGCATTATTTGTATTTTAGTCAACCAGTCAGCCTAGTAATCTCTCTAGTGTGTTCTGGAGAGATTAGATCTCCATTACATGACTGAAACACTTTACCTAAAAGGTCCCTAGGAGGCATCCTGGTCCAATGCTCAAACCACCTTAAATGGCTCCTTTTGATGTGGAGGAGTAGCAGCTCTACCAAACTCTCCACCCTTAGCTGTGCCTAAAATTCTGTCCATAAATATTATGAACAGAATTGGTGGTAAACGGCAGACCAACAGGCACTGAGAAAGAGATTTATTGCTGCTATTGCAAACTAAGCTCTCACTACAGTTGTGCAGGAAACAGAAACAATTACAAACAGCTACAGCTAAATAAACTACAGCCAATTATAACACACAATTTAGCTCGTGCTATGTTCAGGATATTTGTTGCTTTTTAACACAACATTTTTCAGGGTTTTTCTTATAATGTAAATATGAACCTATAGTTTTGTTGTGGAGATTTCTGCAGATATCATGTTTGCAAGATGCCCATTCCTTTAAGGAGAAGCAACAGTCCTAAATGTTCTAAATTTGTAGATGGCATGCAGCTATTACCATTTCATTATTTTTCTGAAGTCTGCTTTCTTAAGTTTGCTGTACAATAACACATCACAAGTACACACACACACACATACACATACGCATAATATTTCTGTCTAATTGTGAAGGTTTATAGCAAGACAGATTTCATTAATTGCCATGTTGACACCCATTTAGAGATGTATATTATTTGTCGTGGCTCTTTGACAGGTCTTTTTACTGTTCAGCTTGTTTTTTTTCTTGGCTCACTTCATTTTACTGACTCTCAACACTTTTGCTGGCTGCCACTTTCAGCCATTATGCAGATTTCCTGTCACCCCAAGATTTAGGAGTGGCCTATCACTGCCAACACCCTCACTCACAAATGAACAGCTAGATGCCTTTGTTTATTTTTGCCTCATTAGCTAATTAGTCATTCACTCGGTCATTGTCGGTGCACTCACGTCTTGGCTGTCACTTGGTAATTGCTGGAATATGTTAAGACAACATCTAATTTGGACATGGATCACTGGGGAGATGCAGACTGAGACCTTTTCAGCTGTGACTGAAAATGACACTGAAGTAGAGAAGTTTAGAAAATTATCTAATGTCATCCTTTAATGAGAGAAGCTGCTGCTCTAAGGTTTTGGGGACCTCAAAGCAGAGAGACTGTGAGAGATATGCAACCCAGGAATCCTAAGATAAAATATATGAAGTCCACATATTTTTCCACCATTAACTCAAAAGAGCCAATCAGAAGCTTTAAAACAGCTGAAATGGGAAGCCAGTGTTGTTGTTCTGGAGAAGAAACTATACACTTGATGTTCACATCTGTGTTGCGCACACATTTCTACATGTTACTATAGGAAGAACATAGTCAGGATTTTCATTGTATGTTGCATGGCATTTATTCAAATGCTATGGTAGGAGCCTGAAACAGTAATTATATTGGTACTCTGTATAATTTATGTCATTGTGACATAATCCAAAGTCACCAAACATTATTAAAGTTTTTTCATCAGATTTTTATGTCTTGGTGTTCACTGAACCTAAAGTTATGGCTCTCTTCCATTCGTTTTACCAGAGCCTTGATTGTGTGAATTCCCCCTTGTTCTATATTTATATCAGTTGCTGTCTTTTTCAAAAGCAACACTGCAAGGCATTATAGCACAAAATAATACAGCTGAACTGTGAGATTCAGATTAAAAATTCTAACAAGTATATAATAATGTTCAACACAGGTTTACTTCAGTTTAAGCTTTGACTGTAAAGACTAGTTTGATAACAATAGTGGGGTTTTTTTTTGTTTTTGTCTGGTTACACTAACAGATACACACTTAGAGCTGTAACCACCAGAGTCACACTTGAACAGAAAAACTGTTTGAAATTGTGAACTCAACAGCTGTGTGACATGACAGCTCCATCGATTTGACCCATCCATCATCACTCTGCTTACCCTGCTCACCCTGCCTGCTGTGAAAGGGCCTTAACAGCAACTTGGTTAAAGTCACTGCTTTGACGGCCACTCAAAGTAATTATATTTCAAATTACGACAGCAGCACTGATAAAAAAAAAAAAGAATTTTAGCATTGTGGATGTGCTATACCCTCGTGACTGCCTGGGCTTGTTTTTGCTTGAGGGACTGTGCTGTAATACTTGTAATTGTTCAGTGTAAACGTCTTGATGAGGCATAATGAATACAGGAGAGAAAAAAGGGAAACACAGTCAACACAATTAAAGTTCAATGATTTAATGTGCTCATCACATTCACCATAGTGCGACTTAATCAGTATTTATTGCATGAACAATGTTGGTTGTAACTGCAATAACAGCGCTGATTAGATTTAATATGGGTGGAGTAACTGTTTGATTGTTTTACAAAGTTACTGGATTGAGTGAAAAAGAAAAAGGATGTGTACAGCAGAATTTATATTGATCAGTTCCTTGCACCATTGTTCCTATGGTTTCCTTTGCTAGTTTGTTTTCCTCTTTTACCATAGGACAAATCAAAGTTAAAAAGTGAGTGACTATCTTGCTTCATTTTGGTTATAATTCTCAATTTATTCCCTGCAGTTTGTCATGGTGGAGTGTACCAGAGAAAGCTGTATCGTGATCTGATGGTAAACTACAATCGACTTGAGAGACCAGTCCAAAACGACTCTGCACCCATTGTGGTTGAACTCGGCCTCACTTTGCTACAGATTATTGATGTGGTGAGTCTCTGTGTGTTGTGAAGTGCCCAGAATATCTGAAGACAGTTGAAAGATTACTTTTGGCGATCAACACAGAGGATGAGGGTTTTTTTAAGACAAGTTGTACAGCAGCTCACTGCCTGCAACAAACACTCATCTCGCAGCCAGTAGCACATAGAAGCCACTGCTGTTAGTTCAGTTTGAGAGGATGATTACTTTTACTGAAAACAAGCTTGAGGTTTATTGCCTACCCTAATAACAGGATTACAAAAAGGTGTTGGTCTTCTAATAAGGGTTCTTATCTCTTATTAGAATCAGAATACTTCATTAATCTCAATCTAAATAATGAAAAATAACAGAAAGGGGAAAAAACAGGGTGATAGCAACAGGCTGCATGCAGGTCGATGCAAATGTGCTAAATATTTATCCCAAAAGATTGATTACGTGAATCTTTTCCAACTTAAACTTGAAAATGAAGCAATAGCACTCCTTGATTAAATAAAAAACACCATTTTCCCACGTTTTCTCATCTATTTGTCACTTTCTTTCCATACCTCCCTTGCCCAGCGTTATATGTGTTTTGGGCTTATAATGCTGTCTTACTTTGTGAAACTTGATGCATGTATTTTAGGCTTTTTTATATTGAAGGTATTTCATCTTTCTTTATGCATCTTTTGTACTTCTTTAAAACTGTGAAGTTGAACTTCAAACTATTATTCCCACAGTGTCAAACCCAGTCAAGGGGGGAAAATTAAAGATTGACATGGTGAACATGCTAACCATATCCTAACCAAAGGCAGTATAGAGTGCCTCTCTAGATATTCCTGTAGAAGGTTTTCAAGGTAAAAGTTATCTACAGTGTCAAACACTGATTCCTGTCAGTTTTCAGTTTGTTGTTTTTGAAAACAACAATAAAGATCAAATATTGTAAGATATTTTAATTTCGTCTTCAGCTATTTTCTCTTTATAGAACTCTGCTCTTCTATGCTATGCTAACTTGCTGCTTATATTTGTCACCAGAAATAGGAGAAATAACCTCTAAAACAAAGGTTAGAAGGTTTCATAATGGTGACTCAGCCTAAGAATATATTATTACTTGACAATTTTTAAAATTGTTTTGTCACCTCAAATACTTATTACCCCAAAGCATCATTATATTAAATTAGAGCTGATTAACAATGCCATCATGTCTTCCTAGCTAGTCAACAAGCTAAGGCATATGGAAAAAATAACTCGAGTGCTCAACAGACAGATTTAGTTATTTTTGACTGCATATTTTGATCCCAGACAACATTTGCCAGCCTGAATACTTAAGTAGCCACCTAACATTAGCTGGTTGCTGGTAGCCACTCATGTAAACACTTCCTGCACAACACAATACAATACCTGTGTTTGTCTTCTTCATTTTATGGATATCATTTGAAGTGGCACCCTGAGAGAAAAGCTTGACTTAAAGCATCCATTCTTATCTTTGTGTCCTACATTTTATACCCACAAACACACACCCATACACACACCATTTAGCTCAACAGGGCACAATGCTCCCTTTCTCTGACATTCTTCACTCTTTTTAATGCTAAACCCACAGCTCTTAAATTGACACTTCTGTGGTTTGAGTAGATTTTCTGTCACATCTCATATTTTGCTCCTTCAGTGTTTGCTCTGCACTCAATCAAGTGTTTCCTCCTGTTCCCCATCTCATACACCTACTCTTGCACAAAAACACACAAACCTCCTGCCTTCTGGCCCCACCACACAGCCAGGGCACTCAACCAAAAAAGCCAAGCTGACACCCTGTCACATCCCAGAGTCAGTCCTGTGACGAGACATGAGGTTTCCTCATAATAACTACATGGTGGTACAGTAAGTCTCATACACTAGACTCCTATTCTAATTCTATTGTTAATATGAAGTCTCAAACAGCGCACACTAAAAACATTTTAATGCATTTTAGATCTTGAGCTTCCATATGGAGAATCAGAACTAAGCAGCTTCCGCATGGAAGAACTCGTCACATAGTTACATGACTACAAATTTCTTTTCTTTTGAAACTATTTTATAGTTATTGTAGTTTATCTTATGTAAATATGTATAGTGTGCATGTATGTGTGTTTGTGTGTTGGTCGTTTATGTATTGTTGTGCTGTTAGATGGCTTGATAAATAATGAATAAGCTGGCAAAACCAGGTGAATTAATGCTTACTGGGCATCTGTAAATAATGTAAACCTCGCTGTGTCTGTGTATATGTGTGTGTATATGTGTGTATAATTGCAATGTGTATGTAATGTGGCCTTTGATTCCTCCATCTGCTCCTGGGTAACTCTCTAACCATGGAAATAGGGCAGGTTGATGCCCACTGGGTCCACTGCCATGAATAATGCCATACACAGACAGACTGATGGATAACTGGTAACCATATAGTATAAAGTGCCACCATGTGTCTCATGCACCTTATTAGGAAACCAGTAAAGTTCATTGCAGCTATGTAACAAAGTATATTTAATTGAGGACAACACATATATACCCTTTCATTCTTTTGAGTTTCTCTTTTACCTCTGAGTGAACAACTATGAATGAGAAATAAATATTTGCAATTTTACTTTACCACACATTTACTTGAATACTATAGGTGTTGCGTTCTTAACTGATTAGGGTTTTACATTAATAAATAAATAAAATTAATTAAAACAAACATGTACTATGACATTATTATAAATTTAAATATGAAATCATATGAATAATGAGCTCTAACCCGGCTATCAACATTAAATTTGCACAATCATCGTATTGCCTCAATGAAGATGATTCAGTGATAAAATATAACAGTCACAATTTTGATGTACCATGGCCAATTCCACTGTTAAAAACTCATCTGCAGGATTTTTGCCAAAAACACTTCATTGAAGACACAATCTCAACAAGTTTTTGTTATAAAAACATACTTTCACACAATGAGAATTTGCTGTGGTGATAATTTAAAAAAAATATTAATATTAGTCATAAATGCTTAAGTAAACCATTTTGGATACTTCTTCTTCAACTGCCAATTCAATAAAATTGAATTGAATTGAATTGAATTGAAGTATGCTCATGCTACATTCAAAGTAAGATGGAAGTCTATTTGCTTTGGGATAATAGTATTACTTAACAACTCTTGAGGAAGATTAAAATAGTCAGAAAAATGCTTGTAACAGATGTTTCTTTGCACAAGAGCAGGCACTTCTTCGCTTCTGTTCATGTTTGATTCAATCAACCCTGAGATATAAAGTATCTGCAGAGAGATGCTCCTCTTTCAGATAAACTGATGCATTGCAGCAGAAGCATCCATTGACCTGTAAATACAAGAACAAATTTTTACTATTCTTTGTCCTGATGAAGCTCTATTATTCAAAGAAACTGATGGGAAATATAAAGTCAATGCAAGTTCATGAAGCACAATAGAGTTTTCTAAGAAGATATTATTTATTTCAGATTTTAGAATTTGTTGTCTTCCCTGTTTGGTGATTCTCTATCTTTGAAATATTGATCCTTTCATCTGGATTGGAAGAAAAAGAGGTAGGAAGTTATCCTATTGTTCCAAGCTGGGGATATAACTGAATGAATTCCACAGATGAAATCCTGTTTCTGGGGGAAAATGCACATGAAGATTTCAAAAAAAGAACTATTTCATATGTGTATTACATTTTTCAGCCTTGAATGCTGTATCGCTTGCAGTGAAATACAGATAAAGAGCTGTTATTAAATGCAAGTGTCCATCAAGCACAGCCTACAAAAACCAATCACAGCAGATTTATGAAAAGATTAGAGTGTTTATAGCGGGTGTCACAGAGCTGATATTGTCCATTGCGGCTCAATGAAATCCCACAAAACACCAAAAAAAGAGAGGTCACAAAATAGAGCAAAAACACAGCAACCTTCAAGCAAAGCCAGGTCTCCAAAACTGTACATTAGGTTGTACACCAGAGGTGTTTCTTTGTAATGTATACAATAGAAGGCTGTTCCATTTCAACTGTGGAGAAGGAAGCCTGTTTAAAAGAAGCAGAGATTAGAAAGGACAGGTGGAGATAAGATTGTAGTTTGGGGGGAGTTAGGGAGGAATTGAGGAGGCG